ACATTCATTCTGTTCGTTTTGTGCGCATTTACGAAACGTCTTCCTCTAATTGTCATCTTATAGAGCTTTTCAAGCTCTACAAATTGTGCCTAGTCTCATAGCATAAACATTGTTCCTTCACACTGAAATTTGGTACTACATAAATGTGTCTTTCATTTTTGCCCAACATTTTCTACTTTAGGACCGGTCAAGTTTTTTTATAATGGACGTATCTCAGAATATATTAGTTCATATGATAGAGAATTTTATTCTTTACAAAATGGTCACAATTTCTTCAATCAATCCGCAGTGAATCACCCCTCAAAACGGTCCTTTTCTGGTATACCATCGGTATAAATTTTGCTCATTCAAGAGCTCATTAACTCGTTGACCTGCGATTGCGCATGCTCTTCGCTGACTCCGCTCCTGCGCTCAGACGCGTTTTTATGGCGAAGTACGACGACGCCATTCACTTTTACTTTATTTGTAATTTTTTAATTAATTAGTGGTAATCGTTACGAATGGATAAGTTATATTTGTCATTTTGCCACTAATTCTAGTTCTGTACCTTCCGCTAGTTAATTTCTCCCAATTTAATGCTTATTAACGCAATTGGAACCAGTTTAAAGACACTCAAAACACTGTTGTCGGGAATTACTCCATTGTAAATTTTGTTTGAACGTTCGGTTTATCCTCTGTTGAATGAGTATTTCCTACAATGAAACGTTCGCTACGATACTTGGACGTCATGCCAAAATGAATGACGTGATTGGTGGTTTTTCTTCGTTATCAGCTGTCTGATGCATGCATTTTTGCATATTTTTTTCATTTATTCGCGTTTTTATGAGGATCGTTTAGTATTTCATAAATAATTTACAGTCAGATTCTCATATGTGAGTGCGAACGTGCAGTCATGTCTACTTCTCAAAAAAATTATCTCCTGTAATGAAAGCGAATTCCTGCTTGCGGAAGCAGTTCTTAATCATTCCGTGAAGATTTGCTTGAGAAACGTATTTCTGCGGCCTAGAGAACAGTATTAATTGCACAGGCGGAATTCTTTCAATTGCCTAAGGCTAGATTATGAGATGAATACATGCAGTCACTCGAAAATTCCGTTTTTAACGCGTTTTACACCACTTATATGTCGTTGGGTTTTTCATCGTTATAATCGTTTGATATTCGTTTAATTTCTGTCTTAATATGACTTTGACTTTGCTTTGATTGCATCTGTGAAATGGGTTTATAGTGTGTTCTCTGTCTCAAATTTTCACTTCGAATGTGTTTTATTGCTGTCCATTTCTTATTCGATCATAA